GAGTGAGTTCTACTCACTCTGCTCTCACTTGCTCTTCATTTCTCCACTTGGATGTAAATCGCAACTTTGATTCTTGCTCATTCTAGTGATTAGATGAAGTTTCGTGCTTGTTTAGTCTTATTCTTCMCCCCCATGTGAACCGCCACATCCCCGCTGTGCTTTAATTGGAATACCGCATGCTTTCACCCCCTGTGTTCTATTCGAACACGGTAATTGAGAAGTAGGTAGGATGTTGTTTTTCCACTTTTTAAACTACTATTGCTGCTGCTGTTTCTGATAGCTGTAGACCCTTAGCTACTGATAAGGTCTGGCCGGACCAGACATCTGCTATTGCAAGGAAAAGCAAGTGGCCAGCCGCCCGACGCAGGACCGCCCCGAGAACCGCAAACGGGCGAAAATGACCCGGGAGCACCCGTATGACAAACCTGTCAAACCTGGGGTATGAGGCCTGAAACTTCTCAGACCTCATATCCTAGGCATAAACAGATGGCCTGCAGACCCAGCAGACCATCGGAGTCCGTTTTTTTGAAAAATAAAAAAACGGACTTCCCCGAAACTATTCGCCTTGAGGCCGGACGACGCCCGAAACAGGCAAGTCGACACAAACGACATCAGAATCAAGCCAAACCTTACAGAGGCCTTCCCTGTGGTACAGTGAGAGGGACCACCAAGTTTGGAGTGATCCTGAGGTGGGTTGGGACAGGAAACACAGACCTGTGTTTTTCAGCTCTCCGTACTCAACAAAAAAACAGCAAAATGGCAAAAATGTCGGAATCTGCAAACTGCAAATTCTGAGGATTTTTCTGCAGACTGTGACTGCTGCAAAACTGTGTTTTCTGCATATTGGCTGTAGGATTAGTACTGTAGGACTGTGTTTTGTGTCCGGGGTTAGGCAATAGGTCGGAAGACAAACCCGGACACTTAGATTTGGGGAAAACGCCGAGCACGACCCTCCACCTTCTTCCTCCACCACCTCCTTCACCCATCCACCATAGCCAACCATCCTCCACCTGCTTTCTCCAACACCTCCTTCACCCATCCACCATAGCCAACCACCCTCCACCTTCTTTCTCCACCATCTTCTTCACCCATCCACCATAGCCAACCGTCTTCCACCTTCTTCCTCCACCACCTCCTTCACCCATCCACCATAGCCAATCACCTTGCACCTCCCTCCTCCACCATCTCCTTCACCCGTTCACCATAGCCAACCATCTTGCACCTTCTTCCTCCACCATCCTCTTCATCCATCCACCATAGCCAACCACCTTGCACCTTCTTCCTCCACTATGTCCTCCACACACCCACCATAGCCAACCACCTTCCACCTTCTTCCTCCTCCATCTCCTTCACCCATCCACCATAGCCAATCACCTTTCACCCTCTTCCCCCACCATCTCCTTCACCCATCCACCATAGCCAGCCATCCTCCACCTTCTTTCTCCACCACCTCCTTCACCCATCCACCATAGCCAACCACCCTCCACCTTCTTCCTCCACCAYCTYCTTCACCCATCCACCATAGCCAACCGTCTTCCACCTTCTTCCTCCACCACCTCCTTCACCCATCCACCATAGCCAACCACCTTACACCTTCTTCCTCCTTCATCCTTTTCACCCATCCACCATAGCCGACCACCACTTCACCCATCCACCATAGCCAACCACCTTGCACTTTCTTCCTCCTCCATCCTCTTCACCCATCCACCATAGCCAACCACCTTGCACTTTCTTCCTCCTCCATCCTCTTCCACCATAGCCGACCACCCCGCACCTTCTTCCTCCTCCATCCTCCTCACCCATCCGCCATAGTCGACCACCTTGCACCTTCTTCCTCCACCACCTCCTTCACCCATCTGCCATAGCCAAACCACTTTGCACCTCCTTCCTCCTCCGTCCTCTTCCGCCACCCGAAAGATCGGGAGCGAAAGGGGAGGCACCAAAGAGCGCAAGGAACGATAGGTAGGACGGTAGGGCACGCTAGGGGGTAAGATTGATTAGGAATTTTGAGTTTCTTTCTCCTTCCTTCTCTCTCTCTCTCTCTCTCCTCTCTCTCTCTCTCTCTCTCTCTCTCTCTCTCTCTCTCTCTCTCTCTCTCTCTCTCTCTCTCTCTCTCTCTCT